GACCCACAGTTATACAAATCACGTTCTGGATGCAGGTCAGCTGATCCCAGAAACTCTGTGCAGCAGCTTCATATCATCTGTTTACTGAACTTTATGTCAACATAAACACTATTGTTAAGTGTTGGGTGACCATATTGTAAATTAATATTAAAAACGAAAAGCTGCAAAAAATATATTTTCAAACTACTTAGTGGCAAATTTAGTGTAATAATAGAAAACATGGATGAAATATGAAACAAATAAAATAAAACACATACAAAGCATACTTCCGGTCGGAACACCAACAAGATGGCAGCGTGAGTGAAAGGCTCCCGACAGAACCTGAGAATTTGATAAAATACTCCCTGATACTATGTGAGCTGCTTCTATAAAGTAGGTACTTTTTGAGGTAAGGAGGGATTTCACAACATTCTTATACAAGGTACATAACTCAACACAGTGTTGAGGGTCCTAACAGTGGATTTCTCAGCATGAGATTGCTTCTTTTGGCAAATATGTGTTGCTGAGCATAATGTTTGTATGATCACAATTATCCAATAGATCTGTTTTCAGACAGGTTATCCCATGCTATTTTTCCCATACTCATACTATAGTTCATATGCAAAAGGGTAGGTATGCAGTACATGTTTACAGACAAGGAAAACAGTACATGATCACTGCGTGTCTCAAAGTAGCGACGTGCAAACAAACCTGACAAGGGACATGAGACATTCCAACTTATTCCAAATGCATTTTTAGCTCAAACAGATTCAAGTCTCACCTGCACTTTTCTGGATGCTCCTCTCGCTTGTTATTGAACTCCAGTGAAATTTTGGCATCAAGGCCGATACCGAAATAGTTGTTCATGACGCACTTCTCCATATAGCCATCACTGTGTAGAGAAACAAAAAGCCAAAAACATTTACCCACAAGTCGAGAAGGGTCAGATAGAAGGAGACAAAAACAGCACAAAAAAAAAAGAAAATCTCTCACAGGGAGTCAAGGTCAGGGTCGATGAAGGGTGTCGCACCGAAGGGGTCGATGTTTGCCAACAGCATCTTGCTAATAATGGAGCTGCCAGCAATGGAGGCAGCCAGCCCTGCTCTCAACCCTACACACAGACACACACATACAGTATAATACAAGCATGAGTGATTGTCCTTGGTGATGAACTGTAAAAAAGACTGTACTTGTGTGTGTGTTTACCAGGGCAGATGATGCGTGTGTTAAGCACGGGGAGGTTCTCCTTGCTGGTGGTAAAGGGGGTGATGGTAAACGGGCCATAGGACTGAGTACTGCGGCTAATTCTCCTCTCAGTTGGAGAACAGGGGGATTTAGCAGCTGCACAGAAAAAAAAACAACTAAACTTCAATCTCTTTTTTAAAGAAAAGCAGCTGTCAAGAAATAGCTGTTTTGGAAAACAGGCTAATTTTAGCATTTGAGTAGCCAGTTAACATAACATGTATGTTTAGACCATGGGGAGAAACCAGAACACCTGGAGAAAACCCATACACATTCAATTTCACACTGAAAAAGCCCCAACCAGAAGTTGAACCTACAACCTTCTTGCTCCAAAGCAACAGCACAGACAAAACGGTCTGTCATGCAATGATGAATTTTGTCCTCCAGAGCATCTCCTTCGCCTCGGATGTTTCCCAGGCCGACCTCTAGAGCCTGTCCGTCGCCTCGGCCTGGCTCCTGGTCGACCTCCTGAGCTCCTCTCTCACCTTGGCTGGGATCTGGGGCATCCACCTCCATCAGATKTGCCTAGGGCCATCTTTGTGACTTATTTGTTTTCCCCAGGGCTTCAGCGCCGATCTTTGGTTTTGAGTTTTTGTTTTTTTTCCTTCATGTTCCCTCTTTGTCTTGTCTGTGTTCTTCTCGAGTATTGTGTTCCCCATTGTCCTTGTTTCTAGCCCTCCATCCTGTTATTGTGGTTCATACC